TCGTGTGTCTTGTTTTAGTCATAAAGAAAAAAAAAAAAAAAAAAATCTCAATCAGAAGCACTTTCTACAGGTTCTATATATATGTATATATATACGTATATACATATAGATATAATTACGATAAAGTACCCTTTTCCACACACAACTTTAAGTATAAAAATCGTCTATACATCGGTATATATACATTATAGGTATATATGCACATATATATATATGTATACATAGACATTCTCTCTTTTATATATTTTTGTGAAACTCACGTGTGTGTACATACATACATACATACATATATATGTATATGTGTGTACATACATACATACATATGTATATATATACATATGAACGTACATATATATATATATACATATAAAAGAAAAATATACATATATGTAAAAGAAAAAAATACACAGATACAATTATATACAAATACTCTATCTCTTCTCGCATACATACACTCTCTCATACATTTTATCTTTTTTCTGCTGCGCATACAGACGTATGCGCGTGCAAAACGGACTCGTACACAGAAAACACGCACATGTAATCACATGCGTACGAGACAAGGGATGTACATAACGACGCACGCGCGCGCAGTTACATATATACGATTTACAATTCGATCCTCATACATGTATATATATGTATGTGTGTGTGTGTATGTATATATATATAATATATATACACATACATACAGAGTCGACATGAGATCGAAAAGGATTAACGAGCGCGCGAGTGCAACGCGAGCGGATATATATATGTACGTACATGAGAGACTGTTCCTCAAAAAGGTGGGCAACATAGAAAAGCGGAAGAAACGAAGGAGGATTAAGGACGAGAAAAGAATCGTGACGACGATAAATGCACGATACTGGTGTCGGTCACGCCTATTTCGCGCTCGATCGCCACAGGATCGGAAATCCACAATTGAGGATGCAACTAGTAAAATAAAAAAAAAAAAAAAAAAATGAACAAAGATTACGAAGCAGACAGATTAAAAACTAGCTGTGGTAGTCGCTGCCGTGTTTCGTATTACGCATACACCTTGTATAATCGTCGTCATCGTCGTCGTTGCCGCCGCCGCCGCCGCCGCTACTGCTGCTGCTGCTGCTGCTGTTGCTGCTGCTGCTGCTGTTTGCAATATCCATGTGCACTGTTCACTGCCACTGCAGTTCGTGTTAATATCGTTGTACATAACTTTCTATGTATCAAGCTCGAGTGTGCGGCGAAAGAGAAAGAGCAAGGCGAGGCGCGCGAGTGGCCACGCACCCTGCGAAGTACAAAGGACACGTAGCGACGAAGAGATGCAGGGCTCAACTGCATTGACAGTCGTGAATTTGACTAAATTTCTGCTCAGCGAGTTGTTATCCTTCTATAAATCACTGATAACAGACGAAAGGAAGACTATTAACAAAATCGAAAAATATCGTGGAAATACGCTCATATAACGTAACGCGAATCAAAATGAAATTTAGTTGATTCAGCGTCGGATATCGTTAAATGCAAGTAGCCCGAGGGATTATTCATGCAGGATCATAAATTCTCGTGTTTTTCGAGAAAAATATCATAATAGAGATCTAGCTTTTATTCCCAGATTGCGCGAAGCTATATTGCAAAATACCTGGTTGTTAGCACACGCCAAATATAGTTTTGCATCTGCTTATTATGCCACATTCTTGTATTGAGAAAGAAAGATAATTTTTTTCAGTAATTAATTTATCGGACAAATAAATTTTTTTGTTTTTAATTTAGGCAATATATATTTGCACTTACATATACACTACAATTTAAATGATGCAAAACTTTTTTTGAAACGTGTACATTTTCGTCAGATTAGAAAATTTTGAACTGCAGAATAAATGCTCTATCCTTTTTATTATTTACAGTTTGTAAAACAGGAATGCACGTAATCTGTCAGAAAACTTTAAAGTTTTGACATATTAACTTATTTATTGGTGATATAAAGAATTGTTTTATTTAAAAAACACAGAATTATATATAACATTTTAAGAGTATTTTATAAAGATTATTATAAATGTCATGCTGAATGTCTTTTTCTTTTTTGAAATATTTCATTTGTCAGGCAATCAAATATTTTTATAGCTAAATCGATCATGAAGCGTTATATATGTTTATTTATCTATACAATTTCACAGCGTTCAAAATATTTGATATTTATTTGGAATGGTGGATTTTTTGTGATTTGTGTGTTGAATCGTGATGTCGAAGAATAATGATTATAAAATTATGTTTTCGATGCGATCTGATTTAATCGAGAAGCTCTTGCGCGCTTCGCCGCGCTTCTCGCGGGCGGAACGGTACTCGCATAAATAGACATTGTATTTTCGCAATGATCGAATTCCGTGCGTCTTTCCTCGTCTTTCCTGTTGCTCTCAGTCGCCCGTAATTTCATCAGTCTCGAGATAACGTGACTTGAACATTCAACGAAAATAGAAGAGAAAAAAATAAGGAAGAGGGATTGCGAGAGGAGAGAAGAAAATGGAGAATATGTCGATATGTATAATTGCTTACTCTGCATTCTTTCCTCGACAAAACTTTGAAAATAGATGAAAAGAGATTTTGTTTTCTTATTTGTGGATATTTGATAGAAATAGTTATACGAGATGCCAAAAATACATAATGTGTGTGTGTGTGTATCTAAAAAGATTCGAATCAGCAAAGATATATTACCTATTATCAGTTGATTAAATTCAAATATTCTTTTTATGATTTTTTAATGGCTTTATTAAGCTTATAAGCTTATAGCTATAGCTCTGCATACTACAAAAATTTTGACGACTTGAATTTAAAAATTATATATTGTTTTAAATCATATTTTTAGCACAATAGGAGAAGAGAGAGAGAGAGAGAGAATTTCTAATTTAAAACTTAATTCAAAATTTGTTATTTAAGAAAATAATAATTTCTTTTTTGAGTTTTATTAATTTTGTAAAAAAAAAATAATTTTCTATTTTATTACAAGAATTTTTCCCTTTAAACGCATTTTGTATAGATAGATATTGCGTGTATGCTAATATCAAGTTTCGAAAATTCTTCATGGGTATAGTAATTGTCACAAATGAAGTCGATTCCTGAAATTTTTTATTCTCTTAAATTCGTCATGTTTTGAAGAGAGAAAAAAATTGTGAGAAAGTCGAATCGGCTGTGAGAAAGCTGCGTGTAACGCGAAAGTCTCGATTGATGAGCACGTCTCATTGTCAGATGCATGCGTATCGTCTTGTTCTCGAGAAATGCTTATTTATACATTCGTTTTCTTTTCTCCTTTTACTTTCTTCGAGTCTGCTTGCAAAGAAACGTTTATCGGCGGACTACGAATGTGCAAGCGAGTCTTTAAGCGTCAGAGAAAGCTTTGAGAGAGAGCTTCGGTGATTCTGTGTCTCGCTTTTGACGCGATTCTATACGAAAATAAAACAAATTCGTACGTTAGATTTTGCGGAAGTCGTTTATTAAGCGACATAAAAACAAAGAAATCTTGTCGGAGCCTTGTGTAAAGTTTTAGATGATTGGTCGAGATTTGCGTCGCGCGGGGCGAGTCAAATTAGAAAGATTTCGGCAGTTATTGATTCGTTCTTGATGTTTGAATAATTTACTATATATCTTTTTGGTATATGTAAAGTTTGCGTCATTGATTATGACGGGAGATTTCCGTGTGATTATATGTGTGACGGTTGTTGTGATAAAATAAGACGAACGTATGTATTATCCGGTGTATTAAAATTCGTAAAGAAACTTACGGCTGGCCGATCGCGCGTCGCGAATCGCTCATGCACTCTCTTTAAGAATTAAATCGCGCACCGATTCAATCAATATCATCAAACGTTGTCATATTCTCGTTGCGTCGCGCGGAGCAAATGTGACGCATTTGTGTGTATGTGAACGTGTGTATCTAAACGAGGTATAATACTTCAGAGTATATATATATATATAAGCCCATGAAAAATCGAACAAAGAACTCGAAGTGATTCGAGATATAAATATATATATGAGAATTTAAAAAAAATGTATAAAGAGAAGAGGGAATTAAGGCGCGCTGAGCGTATGCCACCTTCAATGCCTCATTGACCTCATCTAATGCTTTTTTATCTGTACATTTACAATTTGTGTACCAATGAGGAACGTTGTTTAATCATGTTGTTGATGTTATTGTTAAAGAATGAGATTCAATATTGTACATAACTATATATTCATTATAATTGATGATATAAATAATTATATACATAAAAGTAAAAAAATTCCCCAGAGAGAGTCCCCTTATGCCTCGCGTTTCGATATGCGGTTCCACGTCACTTTGTAATAAAAAAACAAGTACTTTACAAACCTGTGTTGAGCAGGATGAAACTGTCGGCATAGGATTGTTCCGTCGTAATGCGATGAAAACAGAATTAAATACTTTCAATGTATTTTAATAGCGGTTGTTTCTCTCCGGTTGTCTGTTCGATATGCTGGCAGAAGTATCCTTACGCTCATGATTTGCATTTGTACACGTAGTTAATAGATGCATAGTTTAAGAGTTCAATGCAAGATTGTTGCAATGAAAGAGAAGATTATTTTCCAGTTATCTCCGTCAAATGCAACATTGATTCGTTATTATTGAAGATGATCTCATATTAAATATTTATAATACTTAACGATATGGATTAACATCAATGAAAATTTTAATATATATTTTATATATCATTATCTGTAAAGATTTTTTCTTTGAAAATATTGGAATCGCTATAGAAGCACTCGATTTATAATACTATGAATTTTTAATAATTTGTATAGAGAACTGATACTTTTAATCGTAATGTTTTATGTTTCGATACAATTAGATATGCATCGTTAAATCAATTTTTACATTATTGATGACATCTTTTATACGTTTCTAACTCCCATTTTAAATTTGGCAATTGTTTTATTAAATGCCGCAAAATGTTTTGTTAGAAAAATAATATATCAATTGTTCACGTTACATGTAGAGAAGTTTTATGTGGCAAAGTATAGCATAGGTAAGTACAAGATATATTTCATGTCTACCATTTGTATCGTCAGCAACTTTATATTATTTTACAGTCATTAACAATCGCACAATCATATTTTAGAAATATCACATAAACAAGATCTTTTAAAAGAATAAAGATAATACGCTCTTTTGAAACTATTAATTACAACAATTACACAATTTTGATAAAATTTGAAGAAATTGATATTCTATTGTGTCGAAGATCAAGCACGTTAGTTGCATTTTATTTATATTGCACACATACCATCACGTTTATTGTACTTTATTTGTTGAAACTATTAGTATTGACGTCAAAAAGTATAAATTTACATCTCTTATTATTATTGAAGAATCTATTAATATCACAAGATTTCTCTTCTGATTGATCTTAAGTCAACTCTGCTACTTGTCTCGAACTTTGTGACTTGTAAGATACACTTGTGTGGCGACCAAAAGTATATGATATCTTATTGTCTCGTTACGGTTTTTTTATGCATCGTATGGTTATAATTGATTATATAATCGTACAACTCTAACAAGCCGTCTATCATACGGGCACGATAATCCGGTGTTTCCTTGAATTGCTCGCAAATGAGAGGCGTTCTATCAATGTACAAAACGCTCTCGAGAAGTTCCGGCTTCTCGCAAAAATATTTACTGGCCGCGTCAGGTTTCAACAGCATAATCGGTGTGTTGAGAACACCATGAATTATGCACGTAATGCGTAAGTCCCGGATAGACTCGATGAATTCGTCCCAAGGAAAGATCTCTGACACATCCAGATCAGCTTCCTTCATGACGATCGCCATGGAATCGTAATAGATTCTGAAAAGCGTCTCATTATGTTTCTCTCGTAGCTGTCGCGTTGTCGTGAATTGAAGGAAGCACAATATGTCGTGCGCTGGTGGATTGTATCTGCATCGATATAAAAAAGAATATGAATCGTGCTTGTTTTTATCACACATGCAAATATATTTATTTCTTTAGTTATGTAATATATTTAAAAAAAATCTCACACAATTACCTTGCCAATTGGAAATCGATAAGGCAACATTCAATAGGTTTCTTATCGGCATCGTATTTAAACAATATATTGTTCGCCCATAGATCACCATGGCATAGTACATTTTTGTGCTTCATCGACGGCGACAGTTTGTCCGTGTGATCTGCGCACAGTTTCACGATTTTCTCTTTGAAATTACTACGCTGATCGTCGTTTAATCCAGGCAATAAATCGATCATCGAGACGATGCCCTTTACGGCGGCATCGAACATCGCTTTTGCCCTGCCGTCCGCAGGCCAAAGGGTTTCGTGCATGCAGTGGGAGAATTCGTCGTGCAAAGTTTTCTTGTACTGTTGTTCGAAGATGAAGGACTTTGCATGGAACTTGGCGAGAGTCTTCATCAGAATCTCGCAGTGCTCGAAGTCGAAAGGCGTGGACTTGTCAGTCATCGTATAACCGCTGTGAGCCATGTCCTCGAGGACGATAACGTCATTTTCGACCCCGAGGAAACATTCTGGGATGCATCTCTTGTCGAGACCGTCCAGCATCTCCGGAAATACAGTGGTATAGAGAGCCACTTCCTTCTTGAACGTGCCGTATTGCTGAACAAAGTCGTACTGCGGACTGCTGATCGGCGGCGGTATCTTGGTGAAGAAATTGATGCTCTTCGTCTCCAGTGGTGACTTCGGACAAGCCACGGTGGCTTTTAACGTAAAATACTGACCCATGAAACCGTTTACCTCATTTATCGGCACGATTTCGTAATTGACTAGTGAGAAGTCGTCCATCGCGTCCTGTCGCAACTTCTTGCGAATTATTTCGAAGCACTGCTCGTCCTGGAGGATCTTCTGTATCTCGACTTCGCGCATTGTCTTTCACAAGTTAATATCCAAAGAATAAAAATATTCTCACTCTTTTTTAAATATACTAATTTATTTTATTTTTTGGTAATATCTCAAGCTTAAATATGCAGCCTCAGATTCGATTGCAAAGCCGATCGATATTGCAACGCTATTTATCGCGGAGAAAAAACGCTCGCTCTTAACCAGAAATATATAATGGTCGTAAAAAAAAGTTAAAGAGTATTAATGTCTTGCGCTATCGGTCTAGTCGTTATACAATTTTACGATACTTTTGGCAAACCGCAACACACATACCATTTCTCTGGATACCGTGCTAATATTTATCGCGCACGATTTCGTGCTCTAACGCGATGTTTGCACGAGACATGTCATTCTATTCAGGAGGTTCAGATACTTTTATATATTCGCGAAGAGAATCATCACGTGCAAGATATATACAAGATTGCTTGTATATTTGTAATATATCGTTATTTTCTCCTTTATTGGCACTGATTGGAGCTAATATTAAACACGTTGCACATGGCACATTCTGTATAACACTGCAAAATGGAATAATGACTTTTTATTGGCACTCTTAGTATGAATCGATAACCATTATGTATGTATGTACACATGGTGAATAGTTGGAATAAGGGTATTCATACTAGTCATGCTTGTTCCCTTCTTATCTCTTTAATTTTATGTTCTTAAATCTATTTATATACAAAATATTATATCTAATATTATTAAGAAAAATACTATAAAAAATTTAAAAGTTAAAATAAAGAAAAATGTTTTATTATGTATTGTAAAGATAATACGGAGAAGCCTCCGGAAAATAATATAGAGGCTTTTCACTTTACTGTTTTTGAATTAAACATCGGGATAATTCTACATTAAGGATAACATATAGAAATAAATATAAAAGTGATGGGATAACAAAATATGCATCTTTTATGAATATTTTTTCAGTTAACAATTTATTGTATGTGTGTGAATTTATGTTCCGGTGTATTATTAATAAATCGTTTGAGAAATAATATGTATGAGAGGATGTTTAAACAGTGGTGTGTGTGTTTTCAATCTATTAACACATATATGTGTTCACCATTGTCTCGTGCTTGCACGCGCGCTGAGTAAAAAAAGGCTCACAAGCTGCACGTGACACAAACCAATAACTTTTCTGATATACTTTAGCGATCTTTGAATGGGGCACGTTATATGATGTAAGGATCTGAAATTAAGTATCGTAGTATCAACCGCGTTGACATCTCAATCAATTGGATAGATTATTGATTGCTATTTTATTGGCTTTTTATTTGATCAATTATTAGATAAATAAAGCGATTTTATCATAAACGAGATATATGTATGCACATCTAACAATATTTTCTAAAATATTGACGGTTAAATTAAAATTAATGGGAGATTAATTATCTTTGTTTTAACAAATTGCTAATTATGATTTAAGTCTGACATTCTAATTATGATTCAAATGTGTTACATATATTCATTTATGACATTTTATTATATATGTTTCTCGAAAACATATTTAATCTACTCAAAAACAATTTATTTTTGTACTTTTTAATATTCATCTAATTTTAAGTATAGCATTTTTATATCTTTAAAAGATTACAAAAATACAAGCGTACATTCAGATGTGTCAAAATGGCAAGAAGTGGGCATTTAAAACAAGTTAATTATCAGATTTATTATCAGCCATTTATTATCAGCCATTTATTATCAGCCATTTATTATCAGATGCAAATATTAAAACCATCGCGAAAATTATACACAGTTTTCGCTAATTGAAAAGTCACCTTAATAATTTCTAAAAATATAAACCAGCAATTTTCTGGTTGACATCAGTCAAGTAAGTTGATTCTAGTGGCATACTTTATTCTCAATAAGTAATAGAATAGACAATTGTTTCATTAATTCGACCTTTTGAATTCTCATGATCACGTCATACTTTTAACCATTTATTTTTTTATTAGCTGAGAAAATAGCTTATCACCTCTCATATTTTACGATGTAAATTGAAAAACTTTTGAAGAGATAGAAGATGACGGATAGAAATATCGGAAAAAGTATTGGCGCGCGAGAGAATTGTCCACGTATTTTGACATCTGATGATGAGGAAGAGACGATATTTAAACAATTCTTTTCTGTGAGATTCTACCTCGTATTTACTTCATACCTAAGGAAAATAATGTAGACACAGTTTTTTAATTTACACGTTTGTTAAACAGTTTGTATTTTAATAAGATATGAAAAACAAGCCAAGATAAGTACAAGCTAGCAAAAAATTAATTCATATTCCAAATCCATAAATCCATATTAAATGACTATGGTATAATCATCATTATAAAGATAGAAGTGCGAAGTGGACTTTGCATAGCAATTAAAAGCGTCTGTAAGCGATAATTTCAAATTTTCCGTAGTTTTTTTTTCCCCTTACATTTTCATGAGCACTCGTACGCTTGTTATTAATTGCCTTGGAATAATAATCTGCGATGTCTCATGTTCCAAAGCTTGCCGAGCCGATAAGCATGATATAATCCCATATATAAAATAGATAAACGTACTTATATCATACATTTTAGAATGTACGATAAATTAAATCTAAGATTTGTTTACGTATGGAATTAAAAGTATATATCATTGTTTGACGAATGTATCTAAAATATCGTTGTCAGTAATGTATGGCGCAATACTTAATTGATAAAATGAATAAAAAATAATAATTGCATTGTAGCGCGCTCGAAAGCATGAAGAACTAATAAAAAATATAATAAATACTGATAAAAAAAAGAGTGTAATAAACGCTCTTAATATTTTGATCATTAATTTTTATTGAACTAGGAATTTTTGGAGAAAAGAGAAAGCTACAGAATTTCAAGCAGACAAGAATAAAATATTTATAAAAAGAAATTATTGTGTGTATGTCACGTACTTAAGAGAGAAATTTTAACATAATATATTTGAATAATATATTTAATAATAATATATTTATTAATAATATATTTAATATTTTCTTAAATAAATTACAACTTTGAAAACAGTATAGTTTTATGCTATCCAGAAAAAAACAACATAAGTTGAATATCACGCAAAAAGTCGTCTCTAAGAAATGACGGAGAGAAACTAGAATAATTTTTTTTTTTATTTGTGCGTCATTATACGTCTGCCGCGTCCATATATAATCGATATGTCATAGGTCAAGCCGATGAGATACCATTTGCAGTTCTCGACGTGCAGTCAACGCCGCGTTCTTCGGTCGAAACGTCGAGTTTTCTGCCGTCTCGTTGGCTGCTGGATTCGTGAAATTGGCTGCATTATACGATAATCATAAAAAAAAATCTTCAGATCGCATTCCTCGCAGCTTCAGCTTGCTGTATCCTCTTCAGGTAAAGATGTTTAATCGCGTCCGTCGATCTCCGCCGATCCGAATCTACTCCGGATCCGGATTTGTGTGAGTTACGTCGTGACAGGTTTTTTTTTTATGGACGTGTGTGTTTCTGGATACGTATATATTTGTGTTTGCACAAATATATGTGTGTGTATCTGTGTATATCTGAACATGATTGTATAGCTGATTATATAGTTGAATCAAATAAAGTAAAAAGTGAAAAAAACATTTGTGAGCGAAATTAGCATACTGATTGACAAAGTGTGAACTGACGAGAGAAAAAATTCGATTGAATTTTTTGCGTTACTTAGCCATTATCTTGATCAACAGCAAGTAATTGATAATATATGGTTATATAGATTAGAATTTAATATCAAAAACAATAAGATTTAAAATAAATACGATAGAGATACGTCGTACTTATCTAGATATAAAAATAAGGAGTTGCGCGCGAATAAAATTTAGTATGTGACAACATAATTGCGATGCTGAATATGCAAAGAAGTGAAGTTTGACCTTTGCGGGAAAGCATGTCGTAACAATCACTCGCAGATTTCACCGGAGATGGTTTCTTCCTCAACACGGTCATCATTCGCAGAGTATAATAGCCATAATAAACTACGGGGGAAAGTAGTCCCATATACATAAAAAATCAGTTCCGATTAATTCTTGCTGAGTGTAGCGAATCTCTTTTTGTATCTTGTTGCAAAGCGCAGCTGTCAACAAATTGCTTCAATTTGCCATTTAATCCAATTGAGAGAGCGGTTTGATGCTCGCAATAGAGAGATGTATGGCCTCGACATTAACCGCGAAACAAAATCTCCTTTCACTATCCTCCTCTCAGTATGACCTCCCTTATCGGTTCTCCGATGCCAAGCAAGTCGTTTTTTTTTAGTGACATATAGCCCGTTACTAGCAAATAAAACACGTGTTTTTTCAACTTATGCATAAAGTGAACTAGTTATTTTAAAATTAAACATATTGTGTGTACATTATTAATTTTCTCTGCGACTGTTCAATCTAGCACTAATTTAACTATCAATTAATTTGCAGCGATTATTCCCCATATGGCGGGAGCAAGCGCGAAAAGGCGGCATTCGGATCTGCCGCAATTTGAATCTGTTGCCAGGATTTCGAGTCTTCCCATCGTGGAAAGTGGTATACACATCGCTGGTAATGTGTATAGAAAAATAAAGGTACGTAATTAAAAATTATATTACATGCAATAAAGAAGTCATTCATAAGATACCAGTGTTAAAAAGGTCGCCATTGATAAATTTCACCTTTGAAGATTCAAATCAGATATAACAACTGCGCAAAACTTTTTGTCAGAAGAATTACTCATATTAAAAAAATATAAATTATGTAAATAATATTAAATTAAATATCTCCTAAATATCTCAATATAAAACATCTCTTTTCCAACTTGGCTAGAACATCATTTCTTTTTTATTATAGCGCTCGAATTCATTAATGAATTGGAGTTTGGATACTGCGGAGCAGTCATTAGCGATTGCAACGACGACGGCAAGACCAGCGATTTTCGCATTCAATGGACCAATTACGACAATCGATCAGCTATTATGCAAAGGTATCGACATTGTTGAACAGAGAGTACCAGCCGTACATCTTCCTGCTCATCTTGTAAGTTTCCAAATTCCTTTTTCTAACATAATAATTTTTGATATACATATTTATTTTTATAGAGGCGGATATATACATATTTTTGTAAAGAAATATAATTATATACACATATATTCATATCAGTATTGTATAATTATATATGTGTTGATATATGTATGTATGATTATAACAATATTAATTAACTTATTTATTATACTGTTTATTGTTATTAATGTAAAAGAAACTTGAGTACCAATATTGAACAAAAAATATCTTAAGAAATAAATAAAAATAAAGATTGTAGTATGTATTTTTAATTATACATGACTAATAAAAAATGAGTAGATTATGCGATAGATTCCGCAGGAGTCAGTTATGAAAATGATTAACTATTCTGTGTAAGTCGATTAATCTTGATGGAATTATCGCATGTTAATACACCATATTATTTTATATTTCACGCTTAAGATGTATTTGAACACGCGAAAATATGTAAATGAGAACATTGTAAAGCCGGTCCTGAAGCGTGCCGGAAGTGTCAAACAAATTGGTAGTCAAGCTGCCAACGCCGCCGCGGATAGATTGGATGGTGCGCTGACAGTTGCGGACAAGTATGTGGATCGTTATTTGCCAGGTGATCCGGCCGATAAAGTCATAGATGGTAAGATTTTTGCATGCGATGATAATATACATAAATAGATCGCCACAAAATTTTATAAAATTTTATATGTATTATAAAAATATATTTTAGATATTATGTTTATTTGCATAGAATTGAACAGGATAGCGATATACTACGATATATTAATTAGCGATATATTAATTAATTAATTAATGTCTCAAGCAATTAACAATTCATTTTTTAGAGGTCAACCCTATTGAATCAGTGAGCAAAACGACACGAACCATCAAGCATGGTGCAAGATTTTCGCGTAAAGTACAAAAGAGATTGACGCAACGCACTGTGGCCGAAGCACGTGCGCTTAAAGAACAAGGAACGGAATGCATGCATGTGCTTTTATACGTGGCAGAATTGGTAAGACTCGATTATTAATTAATTTATTATTTTTGTTTATTTGCGTAATAATAATTAGAAATTTCATAATTTACACATCTGAATTACTATTACTATTTGGTAATCTTTATAATTTAAAAATATTATTACGTGGCAAAAAAATAATTAATTTTTAGTGCGTACATTATATGCTTTTAACAGTATACTTTGACTTTAATCACATATATTTGCTAGAATCATGATTACAAAAATATTGTTTAATCTAAACTAAGTGTTGATAAATGTAAATATTGCTGCGATAGTCACATTGAAGACAGAAGCGTCGCTTAAGTAAGTAATTCATATCTTTCAGTGCTAAAAAAAAATAATTATTTATGAACATATAAAATGCGTGATACTTGATAATCATAATGACATTCTAATCAAGATCAAATTTCTTATGATGTGTTTAGAATAATTTGAATCTAGATTATAGAAACATCATTTTAATATAAATTACATTATGCACAACAATATAAAAATTCGCGTTTAAAAAAATAAGAAAACTATAACATTTATATTCTGTTTCTCATATTCTTTCGCATTTTAAAAATTAAGAATAATTTTCCAAAATCTAAATAGAAAAACGCTTTGATAAACGAAAATGCTGAGATACACATATAGCGAGATCACGAAAACATTCAATGATCACATGGTAAATATTTACATCTGTAGAATATTGGTCTCATCGAAAATATTTTCCGTACAATGAGATTACTGAAACTGTTCTCATAATCTTGTTTACATATCTCTCTCGCGGAACGCGTCCGCTTATTATAGCGTAAATTATCTATAAGCATATTATGTAACAATTTATCGTTTGTAATATACATAGATAGCCACAGATCCAATATTGGCGTTAAAAAGAGCCAAGGCGTTATGGACCACGTTGAGTCTACCTGAGCCCGAAAATCAAGCACGTCCTGCTACGCTCGAACAGCTGTTGGTACTTTTGACACGCGAATCCGCACGACGCATAGTGCATCTGGTGAATGGCACGACGGCATTGGCGATTAAAACCCCGCAATGTTTGGCTGATCTACTCGTTCGGCTTTCTCATCAATTACTTGAAGTCGCCGACGCCTCATTAAAGGTTAATAAATTTTATTGATCCGATTTAAATCAACGCGTTTGCGTAATTCAATTAATTACAAGCTGCAATAATCTTGATGTGAGTGCATGAAAAGAAGTCAAGTTATTGTCTTTCACGACTACATATACACTTCTTGAATTAAGAAGAATGACGCATACTTTAATAAAGTATCTCCATTAAGTATTTTAGTACAATATACTAAAGTACTTTTATATCATGCATAATTTTCAGATGACACCACTTATAAATAAAAGCAATGCAGCGAAAGAACAAGTATCCATTATACGGTCTGCTATTGAAAGATTGAACTCAACCACGAATTTACTATTGGTACGTACACTAATTATACAATAATATTAAAATATTGATATATTAAATTAATTTATTTTTAACTAACTTAATAATTATATTATAAATATTTGAAGCTTTCTCTCTCTCTCTCCCTACATGATATTAAAAAAAAATTAGAATTTTATTTCTACTAACTTACATATATCGATAAAAAAAAAATTTTTTTAAATTATGATCTCAATATGGACAAATTCTTTTTCCTATTCTTGTAGGAAAAATTTGCTGCGCTCTTGGCTGGTCGCCCCAGCCCTCAGAAGGCATCACATACGCAAAACCAGCAGAACCACAACAATCACATGTCGATGACTTCCAATCCCTCAATAAACGGTGTCGAGTAACGAACGAGTCTCGCTTAAAAACTGCAACGTGCGGCTTTCTTCCTTTCCGGTATGGTTTTCAATTACAAGGTTAAAGACACGAGAATAGAAATCATGCCGCGCATGAGCCGCTACTCGCTGATTAATGTAATGCTCCATCAATCGTGATTATATTATTATTTCTGCGAGTTTCTTACATTTCTATATTCAATAATGCATCAACAAAATATATCTTATCACTAGCACAATGTACCCGTGCCGTGCTTATACTGTGCTTCTCGAGTTATTCAACTATTGTTTTCACGATAATTAAGTATAAATAACGAAATAAAGGGCCATCTTAATCAACCGTAATACTACGCTGGCTGACGCTTTTTTCCCTCCTATTTATTTTTTTAAATATTTAAGCTAACAAAAAATAATTTATTATTTAATAAGCAAATAAAAATTTATTTAAACATCCAAGATGTAAGTATGTGTGTTTTAGACTCTTATAAAATATTTAAAAAATAAATAAATTTATACATAATACACATTTTTATCTATCATTATGCAAATACCTTTTATTTTTTTTTATTTTGTTCAATCAAAGCGTATAATATTAAAAAAGAAGCGCATTATCAAATTATTGAGTTCACATTATGATTTAGATATAGATAATACGCGTCGATTATTTTTTACGCATTATTTAAACCATGGACTTTGACACTTAGAACGAAGAGATTCCGAAATGTTTACAGACATACACATTAGTATACCTTGTATGTTTTACTACTCCTTAGATTTCTTTCAATAGTGAAAGTGGAGAAATCTCAAGTACTTGTAAAATTTTTATCTCGTTCTTCCTGTTGCTTAAGCCACCTATAAATGCATACTTTCAGTGTATGCATATACATCGGCAGATGAAATGCCGATTGTGTTTTAATTAAATATTGTCATTATAATTATTGTGTTGAGACATACATTAATTTTAGAAAGTAATATTTGTTACGATTTTTTTATTAAATATTTACATACACATTAGTATACCTTGTATGTTTTACTACTCCTTAGATTTCTTTCAATAGTGAAAGTGGAGAAATCTCAAGTACTTGTAAAATTTTTATCTCGTTCTTCCTGTTGCTTAAGCCACCTATAAATGCATACTTTCAGTGTATGCATATACATCGGCAGATGAAATGCCGATTGTGTTTTAATTAAATATTGTCATTATAATTATTGTGTTGAGACATACATTAATTTTAGAAAGTAATATTTGTTACGATTTTTGTATTAAATATTTCACACACACACACACACACATACACACACACACACACACAATTAATTAATATTGCATCAATATTAAAAGGATATGCACATATTAATAATTAAATGCTCCAATAATATCTGCGTAGAATATATTAAAAAAGAGATTTAATATTTTAAGATTTTTTAATATTACATGTGCTATAAAATATTAAAATGCATACATATATTAAAAAATCTTTTATATGCTAATTACATAATAATAATGTTTTATAACATTTGTAAATTTACATAATTTACAAATATGCATTCATATATTAATATACAAGAAAAGTACGGGATTCTCGAAAGAATGACCTAAATGACCTAAATGATTAAAATAGACGAGCGAGATGCATTATATATGCAGTACTTGAAATGTATCACGCATTAAAAGCTTATCTATATAAGTCATATTGTCTAGACAAAACGTATTATAAACTTTGGAATTTAATCGACAAAGTTGATTTTAAAAATGATGACAAGTTGCAAATTGCTTCTTACAAAATTATTACTGACAAATATTTTAATCTTGAATAGGTCAGTTAGATAAATTACGATCACAGAATTAATGATGTTTAGTTAGTGATTATTTCTCTATATATAATTTTGTTATATTTTAAAAAATTATATCATATCTATAAATAACAGATATATTAACTAATTATTATTTAATATTATTATTTAATATTATTTGTGCATACGAGAAATTGGCGTGATAATAATTATTTATTACTATCATAGAAAACGCGCTAAAAAGAAATTGATAGATATCATTAAAATAATATGTATTCCCGTTCTTAATCCTTCAATTATATCAGTTTCTAATTCAGGTTGTGTAAAATGTCATTTTTGAGATTCAAATAGTAATAGATCAAGTGATTTTTTTAATGGAAATTTTTCAAAATCTTATGCTTATAGTTTTACTCTAATAATTATATTTATTAGAAATAATAGAATTTCTAATTTTATATATTATATTTATTCATAATACATTTATGATCGTATCAATATAATAAAAAAGTAAAGTTATGATCTCCAAAATAAAATATTTCAGAGATTTATGATTTTTAATCTTTTAAAGGAAAATATCTTTTCGTCAAGCCAATATAATTTTAGTGAAAATCGGATATGAATTCTTCTGATATAATTCTGAAATCATTTTTTGTGTCTATACGACAATCGCACCAGTCACGATAACACAGGCATGATCTGACGATGTAGATGAAACGGACTTTGCACAGTGAAGACACATGGATGATTAGGACGCTGAGAGACTTCGTTCTCTCTTCGTTTCACAACGTACGGGAAATGTGATGCACATGAAGCAAGGGAAAGCATAACGGGAGAAAATTATAATATTTTCTACTAATTGTAAGGTTATTATTTTACAGACGCACCAATTACTGCTTCTTATACTGTTCATTATAATTCATAATTTATGCGCGTAAAAATTATAAAATATATTAAAATATATTTTTCTACTCAATTACTAAAAAAATTTTACTTTCAATGCCTAATACATTATTCTGTACGATTGATTACCATGTGTGTTGCGCATTCTGCTTCTTTTAATAAGAGTAATGTATTTATTATCTAGCCACGATCGGATAGTGCAATTTGATGCAATTATAAATTGAGGCTGAATATTGTATAATAAATAATTGAGAGATCTTTATTTAAAGAAAACTTCAAAAATACTTTATTAAAAAATGTCTCTATATTGTTTTTTTATTTAAATTATCATATATATGTAATAGTTGTAACACTTTGTTAATATCAGGAACAATAACAGAAATTGGAGTTCGTCAACAAAGAAAAACATTTTATTATTAAATTAAATTGAAAGAATACACATCACACAAATTTTCTTTCACTGCCCTTCAAATTAAAAACTGTTTTCTCTTCTCCAAAATAGAGCGACAGCTGATTCGAAGATTTCAGAAAAATATCAATAATTTGATTTAATGAAAATATTTTCTGTTGTACATATCTGGAAGTGGTAGTTACATATATCATAACTTTGCCCAGTCAGTTATTGGCTCATTTAAACCGCGTTTACTGCGCAAGCGATTCTCCACACATTATAAGTGTTCACTGTACGTGACCAACGGCGGCATTCGTACTCAAGTATCAGACCATATCAGACGCGTTCGAGAGCTACACCAGTGAACTACCATATACTAATCGACGCAGCAATTATTCGAGACTGTAAGTACCACTTTTAATGGTAGAGAGAGAGAGAAGAGTGACTTTTAATCCCTCGATTATCAAAATTTCATTTAGGTAGTAAACAGTTTTACACACTAAACCGTCAAATCTTCGAACAATTTAAAATTAGAATTTATGAAATCATGTTTTAATTACGTATATTTACATGTTATCGGAAATAATTCTTGTGCGACTTGTAAAAAGTTATAGCATTTTATTAATACACACGTTATTACTACAAAATTATCATTACGCTTTTCAGATGTAAATTCCTTATTCTATTTTTAAACTCGCACACTTTACAAAAATTTAATCCAACTTTATTTTTTCATAATTCTTCAATTTTTAATGCCATTTACCAGATCTTAATTTTTTTTTATTTAAAAAGAAATTTATATATGTGAATTTAATAATAATTAAAAATAATTATACAATATTCACGGCCGACAATTTAAGTCATGTTTGATATGTCTAGATTCTATCGATTTATCAAGGATATTGTGTTACCAAAATTCCAAAATATTATGTTACCGGTATTCAAAAGTTTTGATATTTATATCCTTGTTTATTATGAAGTATCAGTTTAGAAATTTCTCTTTCAATGATGTCGTAGAAATTCACAAATCGTTTCAAATCTTATTACATTATTTAATATTATATTGCGTAGCACACAGTTCAACTCATAAAATATTTATTATATAATTTATTATATAATTATACATGTGAAGAGCGAAAGAAAGATTAAGTTTGATTGAAGCGACGTACGCTGGATGTGTACACAGTAATATATTCGCACATAGATTTAATTTTTCTCTTTAATTATAAATTATTTAAAACACTTTAAAATAAATTTTGTTCATAGAAACATGTCATTGACAATAAGTTCTTAAGAGAGATGAAGAATTGCTATTTATTTATTACTACATACGTCATAAAAATAATTATCTCCTTTTCTTTTTATAGAGAAACATTATTTTATTTTGTAAAATAATCTGAATATGCCCATATTTTCTCAATTTTTTATCAAAGGACGGTTTGCTCCAAAATCAATTATTATGTACACATATTTAAACATATTTCTATAGTGGAACGTATTTATTTGACCAAACTTTTTCTCTAAATAAAATCAATATACTTATAAATCGTTTTTATAAAATTTATTTATACAGATATTTTCGCCGTGTGTCGTGTGATAACTTCGTGCTAAAGCATGGCGACAGAAGTGGCGCAGCTTCCTCATCTAAAGGTCTTTGACCGTGTCTTGGAATTACCCATCATTGAATTGGCACTCGCCAAATCCGCGGAGACTTACTCCAGGGTAAAGGGCTCGCATCAGTTGGTGCATTGGGCACTTACCACTGCTGAGACGTCCTTTAACGCCGCGACCAAGCAAGCAATACCTATCGCCGCGCCTATTGCGAAGAGGCTTGAGAATCCTATAAACTTCGTTGATCACACGTTATGTTTTGGTCTCGACAAGATTGAAGAAAAAATACCGCTAGTGAAGGAAAAACCCGCAGAGGTCTGAATTTTTAATTCATCTAAATATTAATCCTTCTAAAAACATATATAATATACGTATAAAATTTTTCTTGGAATATTATCACGAAAGTAAAACTAAAAAACATATATTACATTTATATTTACAAGTATATTCAATATATTTCTTTAGATCTTGAAGAAGGCGGCATTGAGAATCTCGTATATAAATTATTTAATTGTCGCACAAGCGGCAAATTTGCGGGACATCAGCTGGAATAAAGCCAATCAAATTCTCGAGACACACTATGGCACTGTGGCTATGAAAAGTTTAGATAGCACGGCTGTTGTTGTTGATAAGCTCATCGAGAGATATTTCCCCACAACAGAAGAAGAAGTAGAGTCGCAAGGTAAACCATGTATGTTTTTAGTTTCTCGATAACTTATTAAGACAGTTGAAATTTGTCTAAATTATCAAATAATGCATTGAAAATGAATAAATTAATTGAATTATTCTTTTCTTTATACATTAAAATATTACAATCTATAATAAAATTATAATGTAATGAAAGTCTCTTCTCTCGCGCATCAGCGAGAAAGTTAGTGAAAGCTAAGACAACATTAAAAGAGTTTATAGTCGGGTCGTAATTTATTATTCATTGTACTTTTTCATGTCCCGTGCTCAAACAATAGATTTTATATTAGCGAATCTTTTTTTCTCATTGTATAACTAATTATCAAGACTTGAATTTATTGCACAGCTAACATGTTTTCTATAGAAAGCTATAATTTCTGTATCCTATTTATATATTTTAATACAATTGTGTTTTCTTACATTTATTATTTAGATCTCTACATATTTTGTTATTTTTCTAAATATATTAGCTTTATTTTTAAATATTTGTTTGCAGACATAAAAACATATGAAGAGGACAGGCTGCTACATACTTTACAAACATTAGGTCACCTGTCCAATAAAGCAGCTCGACGTGTATACTTGAACATAATACACCACTTGAATACCATTAACAAGGACGGTTTAGTAAAAGCTTACATCTACAATTTAGTCGAATTTCTTCGATTAACGAAGTTTCTTCACACAGTTAACGAAAAATCACATGTTGATGGCGAGAAAACGGAAGAACCGCAATACGAAAAGGAAAAAGACGAGTAACTTTGTTTTTTAACTATTTCGATTTTATTTCTTTTTCATAATTATATGTTTATTATGATCTACTATAATTAATTTACATATCGTTAACAATTGCTTTCCCTCGTTGTTGCGAAAGCGATTAAAGTATTAAAATAATTTGCATCAATGATCGTTAATACGTGCACATTTTTCTCCATTGCCCCATAAATATAAAATTTGAAAAAATATAATTGTATAAGACGTGAGATATAAAATTATAGATAAGTTTTATATTTATAGATTTTGTATATAAGTATTTTTAACTCATATACATGCAGTGCAAATAAATAAGTATAATCAAAGATGTATGAACACGATAAACTTTAAAGGTCGTTTCCATTAATATTAATTAAAATTAAGCATTTAAACGATATTATATTAAACTATCTTTGCAGACAATTTAATATAATTGTTGTAATTTGATATATTTGTTTTTTATTTAATATATGTGTTTTTTATATTATTATTTTATGTGTTTTTTATATTATTCATTAACTTAACTATATAAAAATTAAGTGTTCGGAAAATGTTTAGATAATTATTATATTCAAATTTTGATGTAAAAATATATTTATATTTTATGCATTTTGATATGTATATATATGTATATATTATATTCACAGAGAAAGTACTTCAGCCGAACGTTCGAAACGATATACTAAAATTGCGAAAATTACTGTATAATTTTTTTCTACTCATTGTTCAAAGAATTTTCATACATATAACTGTTATTACTTTGCATAATGTTAGCACACAGTAAGAATATATATATATATTTTAAATACAAATATTGATACGTATTTTGCATATCAATCTTGTATATTTTGTATTCATAAAACATTATGTGAAATAAATATAATTGCAATAAAAATTTGTCTGCTTATTTACATTCTTATAATCAATACAGTAATTTTTTTTATCCTTGTTATTTAAATTACTTGATTAAATTATTTGATAACAAAGCATTTATTTATTTGTTTTTTAAATCTGAAATAATTTAAGCTCCGAAATAATAAATTTAATATTTAAAACAGAGAATATTATATTTTTGATTGTTTTCTTTAATCTTCTAATTTTTTTATTTATTGGAACTATAAGTCTTATATCTCTATAATTTGAATCCTTTTTTGTCATATGAAAAAAATATAAATATATACAGTAAAATTTCAAAGATCTATATATTTATTATAATGCAATTATCCACTCATAATCAACACATTGTTAAACATTTAATATTTTAAAAATATATATTATCGTGTATGATAAAATTTCTATTTTAATAACAGAACAACAAGAGAGAAACGCATATGTGACAATGCAAATATCTTCAAGTGACATTAAAAAAAAAAGAATTGCGTCAGTTTTGCACATTGGACAGTGCCATGACTTTCGTTCATTATTCCTCGTAGGGACAACTCAGTCGGCTACTCACATGGTTTTCACGTGTATTTGTAGGATGCAAGTAAGAGTGTTGTGTGACCGCCACGTCATGGGTATTGCAGAACGTTTCTTCTTACTGCGCAGAAGCACAAATGAGATCACAGACGTATACATATTACGCGAAACCCAACTATAAAAGTGAATTAAACTCTCATATGATAAAATTGAATAAATAATAGTGTAATAATACGTAATATATAATTCGTATTTAAAAAAAATGGTTAAATAATCTTTTTTAAAAGAAACTTTTCTCAATTAAATAAATATTTTATTTAACATTGGAATTAAACAATTACGTATGTATTGCGTATTTATTCACAGAAATGCTAAGAAATTAAGTAACAGACAAATAATTAAAAAAAGAGAATACTAATAGAATACTACATAAAAAATAATTAAATAATCCTAAATGTTATAATAAAATTGATGACATATCTTTGTTTTCCTTAATCTTCTAAATTTTTATAAAAACCTAAAAAAAATTTATGTAAAGAAAAATTAAAACAAAAAAAATTTTTCTTTTTACTTTTCTTTTCAGGGGACATCTGATTTTGACGTTACTGTTCAGGTCCCCTCTACTTGATGTTCTCAGATACTTACGAGTTCTGACGCCAATATAACGCCAGTCTCATCCGGTGCTTCATGTAAATCGGTGATTCACAGCTGACTTTAGTGATCAACAAATCTTTTTCAACAAGTCATCCATAAATGTAAGTATAATGTAAAATAAAACGAGAAAACAGCATCGTGATACTGATCTTTAAATTTATAAGATATAGAATATACATATATACACTGCATTAAAACTATTTTTTCATATAATAACATTTTTGAAAAATAATCTAAAATTCGCTATAAGAAACTGACGTTATTATTACATCATATCACCCAATATCACATCTTTTATTTTATTACTTTTTGCATTGTTGCTATTACTTAACAAACAATTCTACGTAAATTAATTTAACGTAATAAAAATAGAGTAGTAGTTATGAATATATTAACAAATGTGATTTTTATTGCATTTTAAATAAGTAGTAATTTTAATGTAATTACATTATTCTTTATTATACGCATTAATTAATATATAATATTTCATTGATCATATTGCATTCGTTACGAGTAACTGTTGAATATTGTAACTTGATCTAAAGCTAGGATGAATATTTTACAACAAACATCAATAATCTTTCTTTGTAAGGGAAAATTCATATGCTATATAGATTGTCCCCAGATATAAAATTAGCACTTAAGTCAATATTGCAGATAAATCGCGCTCTACCTGTGTAAATTGCCTACTGTAAAAATAATTTTTAAATAAAACCGCATTGTATATGCATTATATATATGAATTGCATCAAGAATTGTACAGAACTTCGATCGATAACAAATAGTATGTACTACATGCTAAAATAAAAAAATAATTAATTTAACAGAATTTTAATTTAATCTATCAAGATAATATTATGAGAGAGAAAGAAGAAGAAGAAGAATTAATAAAATTAAAATATAAAAAGAATGCAATCAAAGTTTTTCTATGGAAAAACATTTCAAATAAGTCACGAAATATGTGTGTGGTGCGCAAGTGAAAAAAATGTTACTTTCAAAGAACGCTCGGTATATATTTTATACAGCAGAAATATAATGCAAACGCAGAATGACAGTTTACTATTATTTTCTCATTTGTTTTAGCGGATGAATCATGTACTACGCGCATAATCTCGTAATGAGTTGAGTACATTAGCGTACATAATAAAATTCAAAGCACTTGATGTTGTACGTAATAATTTTTTTTCGACACTGTGCAATTTCTCTTTGAAACATTTTCGCACATGCATGTCGATAAATATGTATAAGACACCAAACTAGATATATATTTCCATTAATATGTATCGCAATAGATTTTCTGCGCACCGATTGTGTTCTTTTTTTTATTAATTTGCCGATCGCACACATAGATACATTAAAGAAAAGATGGAGTAAACGTAACCGGTAACCTCTTATATCGGTAATGGTATCAAAGTACACGTCTGGCTTTACGTAAACTAGATAACAAGTTAAACAACAAGATTGACTCATCGGTTACCAAAGGTACAAAGATCTGTGCTCATTGCTCATGCGCATTTACATTTGTAATGTTCAAATGTACTCGGACATGACAGATAATAATAATAATAAAAATAATTATCATTATTTGAAACTATTTATTTAAAATTTAAAAAATATAGAGCGTATAACCCAGCATATTATTTATCTAATTTAGATTTGCATGTATTTGATATGGTTTCGTTACATATAATTTTTATGTCGTTTTATTGTTATTAAATCAACTATATGTATATGTATATTAAAAAATGGCGTAAATCAAATTTTGAAACATGAATTATATTTAAAAAAAATACGCAATCTTCAAAGCTCTTTCCATACACATTAGATCAGCGAGTATAATTTAATGTGATTATATTTTTATCAAATATTCATAAATTTGATATATGCCATTTTCGAAACAGGCAAGATTTCTAAATATCAATTTAATATGTGGTTTATTTTGCAGAGAGAATGGCGGATGCAAATAAATCCACGCCGAATTCCGCGAATACTCCTCGTCTTGAGGTAATAGACCGGGTGAAAAATATTCCGGTGGTTCATTCGGCGATCGAGAAGACGGGCTCTACGTATGCTTACGTTAAGGGTTCCCATCATTTGGTAAATTGGGCGCTGAACTCTGCCGAAGCAGGATTGCATTATGCAACTGCCACGGCGGTGCCGCTTACGGCCCCTTTGGCCAAGAAATTCGAAGGACAAATCAGCGCCGTCGACCAGAAGCTATGCCAGGGGTTAGACATTGTCGAACAAAAAGTTCCGATCGTAAAGAAACCACCTCAGCAGGTAACGTTAAAGGAAACCTGCCCTCTCTTTTAATTCTCGCAGGGCGTAATGTTTGACAGCTGCATAAACCACTGAGTTTGCGTTTAAAAAATCCATAGTAAAATTTTTTTATATTTATTATTATATTTTTTTATATCTCTTTCTGAAAAGATAAATTAATAAAAAAAGAGAACATAAAAATAAATAGACAAATATAATAAAAATAATAAAAATAGAAATAATGAATTCGTATAAAAGAATTTTTAATTCATTTGTAGTACTTGTTTAATTTATCGTGAAATGAATTATTTATTAGAAATATGACATTTATATTTTCAGATTTACGATGCGGCGAAAGCGGTTATGAACAGTTCCTTGCAGCCAACCATCGAAAAACTGAACGTGGCAAAAGAGTCAGCCACGCAACAGGCGTCTACGCTGAAGGAGATCAGTATAACTAAGGCGAACGAGCTTCTAAATACACAATGCGGCACTATGGCTGTTCAAAGCATTGACAATACCAGTGTACTTGTTAATCGTTTATTAGATCATTACTTTCCGCCTGTAGAAGGAGAGGAAGATGCGCCAAGTATGTTCTCAGAAACTTCACTAACTCTTTTACACTGTGTTAAACTATTAAACCGGTATTGTTCTTAATAACAATAATGACGATTATGTTGCAGCTCCAATCTCAGCAGACGAAAACAAAGTACTTCACGCAGTGCAAACAATCGGTCAACTGTCGTCAAAAACTGCTAATCGCGTTTACCATTCCGTTGCTGCGCAGTTGAGGACAGTGAAGAAGGAAGACGTGGCGACATACATATCCAGCGTAGTATCTATTCTTCATCTCACGCATTTTTTGAACCTTGGTCAAAAGGAGACGAATAAAGAGGCAGACAGTCCGACAGAAAAAAAGGATGAGGAGAAGAAATAAACTCAAAGTCCGCTCAATTCGTTTTCATCGTCGCAATTTGATGTACAATTTATGTTAGTCCATTCGTTACACACTGTAGGATTTTCAAATATTTAGAGAAACATAAAATAACGTGCAAATTCTTAGTCATTCAAAAATTTAATGTGTGTTATATATAACACTTATATTTTAAAGATTTAATATATCTTTTAAAAGAATTTTAAAAATGCACTAAAAATGCACGACAAAAAAAAAGATATTTTTTGGGTAATATTATTAGAACTCTGTCACGAATGAATTGATTTGTTAGCTCTTTCGAATATATGTTTCTACACGTTTTAATATTCTATAATATACATAAATCAGATGATTCTGTGGTCAACAATAAGTCGTATAGTTTTGCTTTACTAATATTTTTTTATGTAAAATTTTTTATATTGATCAAAACTGCGACATCTCGCTGATTTGGAGCTGTCTTCACGAGAAACGAAAATTCTTCTAGTGTTATTGGTTAATACATAATATAAGAATGTAGTTTAAACATCACGAAACATATCATCTTAAAGGACTATTACAAATATTTATAAAGAATCAAAGCAAATATATATTTTGTAAAACATTCTGATATAATACTTTATATCATATAAAATACAATTTTGGAAAAAATATATATGTTTCATTCTATTTAATTTAAAAAGTATGAATTGAATGAAAGAATCCAACCGAGAGATTAAAGAAGATTAAAGAAGAATGAGGCTTGTATGTTAAAAAAAATTAAGAATAGAGTAATTCTTTGGTAGGTAATTTAAATAATAGAAATTTATAAAGCAAAACTTTTAATTTAAACATATATATTAGGTTGATTAGGATGACACACACAATAAAAATAGTAAAATTAAAACATTAAAAATTATTAACTTGTTATATGTTTATTTTACAGAAAATGGTTTATTCGCGAATATAATATTGGTTTAAATAATGAAAAGTCAAATAATGTTCTTAAATTTTATGCTTTTTTTTAATTTAAAATAAATAAAAACTGTTAAGTGTGAATACAATGAAACGCTTGAAAGAATAAATTTTACTACGTTCTATCCCAAGAGACCAGTTGGATCAATATGTCTTTGTCTGTAGACTGCCTCAGTTGTTAGTTTACCGACACACGATTGCTCCGAAATGAAACCATATCGAGAAACTTGACAGCAGCGGCGTTATCTCGTGGTAGAGAATCGCATCTAAACTCGATATCGGGTGGGTGAAAAATGACAGCAAGTAAGCAGACCTCACTTGTGTAAAAGTGTATAAATAATTGTGCTCGCGCTTCATGGCATGCCGCAGTAAACAAATTTCGTAGTGAAATGAATCAGAGATCAAGGTACAGCAGCTGCAGTGCTTGTGAGGGATAGCGAGAGGGAGAGAGAGAAGAGCAAGAAGGGAAACATACAAAGCCATAGGGCAACTTAAAGGGAAGCTCGCGTCCAGTCGCGGAGATCGTTAGTCAGGTAAGTGTCAACCGATCGGTTTCCTTTGTTGAGCCATATCGGGCGGAGCACCTGTCAATTCGCGTCCATGACATTGATCTTGAGAAGTACGTTTCTATAATTGACCCACACGTTGCCATCGATCGGGCGCATAACAATGAGGCGTAGTAAGTCGCGCGCATTTCTACGACGCTCGCTGATGCTTTGTGCTCCAATCACGTCGTGATATTATTTTTAATCGGTGTGTGTGTGTGGGTATGTGTATGTGTGTGTGCGTGTGTATTTAAATGTCCTTCTTTCCTTTCTTTTTTTTTCCTTGGCAAACGCTATGCTTACTTGAATTTCAATTAGTATAAGCTTTGAGTGGAGTCTTAATAGATAGTCCGAATTATTGCTCCAAGTTATTCTGAGTTATCATGTTTGGAGTAATGTCATAATGATATGCATTATGCAACGTTGACGGTAAGAAATATCTTATTTTGATTACAAAAATTCAATAAATTTGCATATGTAAACGCGCGACACGCAACTGTTCTTCTGTTTATAAATATAATGTATTATATTTTCGTAAATAATTCGCATAAAATAAAACTTAAAAATAAAATTAATCGTAAGTAAAATCTTTAATGCTCGTGTTTTTTATATTTTCTATTATTTCTCACGAGATAAGAACTTTATTTTTAAAAATTAAATTAAATTTATAATTTAACACATTATAATATGTTTCTTGCTGTATTTTATAGATTAAAATTTATATATAAAATTTTTGTTTGAAAATTATTTATAAACATTGAAAATTTTGTAGGCTATATAAAAGAAAGATATGAAGATATTAGATTAGACTTTTGTTATGTGAGACATAGGAGCAGATTTATTAAAGGAAATGGGATTTTTATCCCTTGTCATATTCTTAAGTCTGCCTCTGATAATATAATATTTTTTATTCAGACTCTAATCTAAATTTTTATTGTTACAGGTTTGCTATCACAGGGACCATTTTTATCCATGAAAAAGAGATCTTGGTTTGATGACAATCATGGAAACAGAACTCCTAGATCAATTTTACCGAATTCAAGCTGTCGATCGTGCACGTAAAATACCCAGTGTAAATTACTTGTGGGATAAATCTACAGAGGTTTATGAACGTCTAAAAGGCACAAACACATTTTTAAACTGGGCCTTTGACACTTTTGAAAGTTTGGTCAATACAATGATAGAAAAGTCTTTGCCAGTCGCTAGATTGATGGAAAAACCAATTTATACCCTGGATAAAACATTATGCCAGGGCATTGATTTTGTTGAAGTAAAGCTACCTATAATTAAAGAAGAACCTAAACAGGTAATATATATTTTCTTATCCACAAAATATATATATATATTATCCACAATATCTTGTATATATTTCTTTTCACAGATTTTAGATCGCACCAAATCTATCGTATCCAAACGTCTCCGTCCCGCGGTCAAAACTTTTACCGATTTAAAGCAGGAAACCAAGCAAAGAATGAGAGTTATGACTTTACTTACGTATTACAAAGTTCATTATTTACGCGTTTATAGTTGGCAACAAGCGGACAAAGTCATGTCAACTGAGACAGGTATCAATATTTTAAAGACTGTCGATAACACGACTGATTTTGCTGAAATTCTGCTTGACAAGTACTTACCTCCATCAGAAGAAGAAATTCACATTAATACAGGTAATATATATATTTTTCTATTTTTTAAATGTAATTATTTTAAAATTTCAAATGTGCAATTTATATATAATAAGATTACAATTTTTAATATTAGATACACGATTTATATATTTGTATACTTGAAATAGAATAATTTAAAAAAAGTATAAATTTAGAAAGAATATTATATTGCACCAAAATAAAACAGTGTATAGAAAAAAGCGCGATTTTTCTAAGACGTTTATAGATGCAAGTCATAAAGTCAATGTCAAGTGTAATTGATTTTACAAAACATATAATACGTTAAAAAAATATTGTGCCTTAAAATAATTATATAATCAATTAGTCAGAGGGAATATATTTTTTCTTAAAAAATTATAATCTATTTATATTTACAGAGAAATTATGTAGCGAACATGTTAAGCTTCATCACACAATGGAAAGACTGTGCGAATTCAGTAACCGAGCGTGGCGACGTATTTACTATGCAATAATGGAAAGATTGCAGCATATGTATAAGATAGAAATACTTATTTTGGTATTACACGCGCTTGTGGTCATCCAAGCGATCAAGTTCTTGGAATCCATAGTGAATTTGACATTTAAATTATTCAGCGATTGCATCTTTTCATATTAGAAGCACACGCTCTAGTCTGCGATAATCACGTATGCAACAGCACTTAAGAAATAAGATTATTTTTTTATCATTTTTACAAAAGTTATGTCTGACACGGGATATTTTACTTGCAAACTGCGAATTTTACTTAATATGAGCGCCGTGAAACACGTGACCATTCGTGGAATAATTTCACGGTTCAGAATGGATTAAAAAGGAGCGGTACTTTCTCAGCCATGATATATGACACCGTTTCTCATAATATTCTGTATTTGCATATTTCCGGCATTTTATATAACTCCGACTGCCGTTTATTAAAAAAAAAAATCGATTTATTTTTAAGAAGAAGGTGAATCTCGAGAAATATATACATAAACAAATTTTATAGAGAGGGTTCTTCATAATATACAGAATGTTCTAATGCATTTTTTATATTGTATATACTAAAGTCTAAACTAATTGTATAATCCCGTAATAACAAAATAAAAATATAATCCCGTTTATTTAATTCGGACTATCGCGATTCTGATTTATACGTACTTAAAAATCAATGGATTTTTGTACATGAAGCAAATAAACGGAAAAAGCTATGAAATGTTTCATGGATTTTGTAATAAAACGGGATTTAAAATATTTAATCAAAAGAAAAAAAAAACATGAAACATACTGTATATTTTTAAGCGTTTCCACTGTATCAAATTTCAAATACGCGATAAAGATTAAAAATAAAAAGAAAAAATTATATATATATATATATATATTTAACTATTATGTTACATACATTCAAATTTTTAATCTAGTTAATAATGGAGAAATAGCATATTCTAGTAATACTGGTCAAATTGTTATTACGTTGTATTTTTGCGGGAACGAATCATCAAAGTGATTATCGTTATTCTTATTTTGAGAATGTAGCACGATATTTTCTAAGATTTGTCCACATGCATAAATAGCTACGCTTTTCATACCCTGTTATATATCGTGTGATTACACAGGCATACGTACTCGAAGAGCGTAGTATTTGCACATGATAGCTTAATATTTTAATTTTACTGGTTTGTCGTTCAGATCTTGTGAGTGTGTAAAATTTGTGTTTTCTACAAAAATAGGTTATTTAGTAAAGTAATAATTAATCTCAAATATAATCGATTTCCCAAGAGAGAGAATGGATAACAATCATGATATATATCTCATGTAAACATTAGTATCCTGACATAATGCAATGTGTGTCTAATGTTAATTACGAATGTCGAATTAAAAGAAAAAGCTGAAAATTAATATTTTAGCGATATAACGACTGTGATGAAAAAACTGTAATTTATGCTCTTTTTATATTATACGTCCTATAACATTAACTTGATTTTTGGGCAAATCCAATAAATTGAGCATTAAATATAAATATGTATAAGATTTCACATTTGATGTAATTATATAATAAAATAAAAATATATTTTAAAGATATATATATTTTAAAAATTATAAAAAGATATATTTTATAAATATAATACAAAAAATGTATGTATATATATATATTGCATCAAGATGGATTATAATTATATAATAGAGCAAAAGTTTGTAAAGTTTAATGATAAAGTTCCGTATTCATTAGCAAATTTTCAGCTGTTCTGCGATGATTTTTGTTATAGATTTTATAGTTTGTTATTTTTGGTTTAGAGATATCCAAGAGACATACGCGTATATAAGTAACTTAAGCCATTCTATTCTAGTAGCTTGAGAGACATATTATTTTGACAATGCTAATAGCAAAGTCGGAGACATATATTCTGTTTAAACAGAACGCATGCAAGAACAACTGTATGTAAATTGTATTAATGCGTCAGCCGCTTGGATAAGGGATTGTTTTCGTCTCAAAAGCAAACTTCCGCTTTCTATTGTAACAAAACGATAAATCACTCATAAACGGACAGATTGCACATAATTGTACATTAATGATGATACGAGAACCTACGAATTATTTTTGTTCTTGTTTTTTTTCTCTGTACTTATTAATGCATTTGTATAAAAAAAAAATGTACATTAAAAATATTATACTGCCATAAAAATATATATCTCCCTATATATTTTTCTGTATGTATCGTGTATTAATCCTGTTCTCGCACTTAGGTTGCCAGTGCAGTCAATCTTAAGATCGTTAAGATGAAATAGACGTAAATAGCTAACGTAAAATCCGACTGACCGCTTTTTTTAAACGAGCCATTTCTCAGAAGGAGAGTCTGGCTCGAGCCAAGGAGATAAGGGGTTGCCAGGGCATTGGAGAAACGAGAGTATATTTTTCTGATGTCAGTGTCGGAGCATTTATCACATTCTCCCCTGCCACGACCTGCGGAAAACGGGAATGAAGCTACGTGATGGAATCGCATATATGCGGAACGTCCGGTAAACTTGCGGCGGGAAGATACGCGCACGTGGAGCTAAATCCGACGAAGCCAGGCGAGGCTCGCCACCTTCATCACGATTTCTTCGTGGTCGTTTCACACTTAATCCCGTTGCAACCGAAGGCTCGGATGAATATGATCGAGACGAGATTAGCACGCAACTGCCACGAACATTTTTCATCAAATGAAAGATGACTTTATATCTCAAAAAGGAAAATGGAAAAGCAAGAAAGTCGTAGAGAGAGGAACTTTTTAATAATACATATCAATAATAATACATATCATAATAATACATAATAATAATACATATCATAATAATACATAATAATATATATTTCGATCGAAATTAATATAGTGTATTATTATAAGACAGACTCTTAATATTAGACTAGCATCTTAAATTTTTAATGTTAAATTAGAGTATTATAATAATCGAACTCTCATTATTAATAAATCAAGTTATAGTTTATTATTTGCGGAAAACGAACTTTTCTCGAAACAAAAAGCTACGCATTAAAAGATCCTTGTTTACAATAATAGATATTTCTAGATATAATATTTTTCATTCTGTCTTTCTTTTCAATGATAACATTTTTTTTCAATATCCAGCATTTAAACAAGATATCTTGATATTTATGCCAGAAACGCATTTGATTGCTTGTCACTATTCATTAAAGTTTATCCTTTATTATGTTCTATAAAACGCGGTATTCCCGCGTGTCCGCGGTTTATGCGTACATAATGGACAATATAACGTCACATTAATCATCGGAAGTCGACGCGCGTTTCTCTATGCCTCTTAAAACGTCATCCTTCCTGCCCGCCTCATCGCACAGCGTCTGCTGAATTTGCGAACGGACGGACGACGTCTTTTCATTAACGTGCTCGCAGATAATCCCGACGTGTACTACTGCCTGGCCACATATGATGCACGCTGCAACTTTCTCGAGGAATGCGGTTTGATGGGTGTAGCGCTACGAAAAGAGAAAGAAATGACCATTTAATGCTGAAGCCGCGCTGCTTACGTACATATTACGTTGAGTTGCAACGTGTGTGAAGAGTACTTCGGAAAATTGGAGATAGAGTTTTGCGACAGAGAACAGAGGTTCCCAAACATTTTAATCTAGTCTTGTTTAATATTTTAAAAATTATCAATCGTTTTAATACGAATTGTTACAATAAAATAAATTAAAATAATGTAAAAACCAAATATATATAAAAATTTTATCCCTTTTATTTTTCATTAAAATTGTACTTTAACAGTTTTTTTTTTAATATACTTTAACTTTACATATAGTTAAACATCGAATATAAAAATAAGTTTTTTATGAAGCAAACAATTTTTCTTTTTTCTTTAGTTAGACATTCTCACGTGGCCTTTGAAGCTTTCTCACATGTCCCGATTTGAGAACCAAATCACTATAGGTCAAAGCAGCAACACTGATGTCCGTATGTTTAAATTCAATGATAAATGCGCACTTTAAAATTCATAAATGTCTTTTATAAGATATTTCATGTTGCGTTCAAATGTCATCTTTTGTATCAAGTAAAAGTCAAATTGAAATAATAGCATATTAATGGATTTAATTTTTAAAAAAATATATGTTTATCATATAATTGTGTTATTAAATATTAAAGAGTTTAAATAAGAGTATTTCATTAGAAATAAAGAGAAAAATATTTTATTATTTTTGATATTATTCAATATA